GCCCCCGGCCCCCCCCCCCCCCCCCAGCGTCGCCCGGCAGACAGCTCGCTCACTAAGCTTAGCGGCATCCCCAGGGCTGCCACCAGCACGTCCGATACGGCCGTCGAGGCCACCAAGTTGTGCGGCACGCGATGGAAGGTGCGGACGCGCAGGATGGTGACCAGAACCAGCAGGTTCCACAGGAAAGTGGCCGCGATCAGCAGCACCAGCAGCGTTACCACCAGCACTGTGAAGACAGAGACGGGAGGCTCCGGGGCGGGCTGGATCTCACCACTCGGGGTGGACCCTTCGATCTTGCCCGGGTGTGGGCTACTGTTGCAGGTCTCAGGTCCCAGCGGAAGGGCAACGCCAGTGGTGACCACTGAGAGGTTAGCGGTTTCCATGGCGCGTCGGATCCGAGGCTGCCGGCAGCTGACGAAGCAGGGTCCGTTAGCTCGGCGTGGACAAGGGCGGGTAGAGAAGCAAAAGCCAGCACTGCGTGCCGGGGGAAAGGGGCAGGGCAGGTCCAGGTCGTCCTAGCCTCTCCGTTCTTCGGGCCTCAGGACCCTTTGGCGCTTCTTCCTGGTGCCCTTGTGGACACTCTTTTCCAGTCGAAGATAAAAAGGAAGTAGGACCCCTCATCCAGCTCCGTTCGGTGCACCAGTCCCTCTCACCTAGGACCCCGGGTCAACCGACTGTCAGTGGGTTGGGAATCGGAGAGCGCATCCCAGCGTCCACGCGCAGAGACCAGCTTGGAGAGTTACTCCCCAATCCCTCCGCACTCCCGGGTCCAACTGCAACTGGAGCTGAGCTGCACCTGAGTGGGCTGGGTGGGCGGGGCGGTTTGGAGAACCCACCAATAGGAGCCCGTCCTTCAATACCATCATCCCCGTAGGTCTCCCCTCCTTGGCCAAGCAGAGAGAACCCTTACTGCGGGAGTCTGAGGAAGCTTCAGAATCCTGTAGGAATCCGTAGCCCCACCTTCTTGTCTTCCTACCCATCTGGTGCCACATTTTAGCAATGGGAAACAGAGGGTCTGCCCTGTCCAGGCCAGAGGGGTCCTGGCTTCCTGGAATCTTGGTTCTACCTACACCTGGGGATGCAGGTATTATGGTACATAAAACAGAAAGCGCCCAGACCCAGCTCCATCCTGACAATTCATTCCTAGAACTTCTGCCAGGCCAGGGCTTCGGGCTTCGTGCCTCCTTGAGAAATTCACTCCCTGGCTCTAGAGCACTTTGGCAAAGGCCTGGAAGAGGAACCCTCCAGCCTCTTGGCCAATTCTAACATCCACATCATTCCCCTGCGACCGCACTCTCCACCCCACCCTCTCCTTCCATTTCTAACATTCCTGACCATCTTCTACCAGTTCTCCACTCACAGGTTCAAGCTGGGCTTATTTCAAGGAACCTTTGGGCAAAGATAGAAACCAGTTCTAGAAAGGTGAAATGCCCTTTACCTCTGCCCAAGTTCCCATTTTCAAACTTTCACACTTAAAAAAGAATAGTTTAATTATAATTAAATTAATCTAACTGCATTCCTTCTGTTCTTGGAAGCACAACAGTAACATAAGATCACAGAGCCCCTATTGCCCGCTTTCATGTGGTGGCAATTTCTGGCTTCTCCCTAAACTTGTAGGAGCAACTGCAGAGCAAACAGGGTGCTTGGGAGAGCGGGAGAGGGCCCTGCCCTGAGGATGAGCTCCCAGGAGGGGAAGCCACCTAGGCTGGGCAGGTGCAGGGGTTCCTCTCCTTGCTTTGCCCATAGTCCCACAGCTGTCACCTGGGGGCGTTCTTGTCCTGCAGGAAGGGCACTTCCACAATGCCTCTCTACTCTCCCTTCCTCATTCACCAACAAACTGGCATGTGAAAATTTCTTAGTGCAGTGTATGACCGTTTGAGCTTACCTGGACTTGATAGCACACTCATTAAGCATAAAAAAAAATTAGAGTGTCAAAGTAAAAATACTCAAACTCCCAGTTTTAAGTGTCAACTTGTTGATAAAAATACCCAAATGGAGGTCTGCTCAGGAATCACAAAGATGGGGGAAGGTTTCTTGGAGGAGGAAATTACTAAAGTTTTACTGAAAAGTAAGGAAGGAAATTTAAGCACTGGAAAAATGAATGGAGGATTGGACCTTGAAGCAGGCTGGCCTGCCTGGATGGCTGGGGTAGACACGGGCAGGAGGTGGACATGTGGGGTCTGAGAGCCAAAGAGCAGGGTTTGGATTTGATCACAGAGAAAGCTGGATTTTGAGAAAATTGAGCTGACTGTGAGAATCCTTTACAAAGAAATGGAGACCAGCCTTTGAAATATTTTCCCGGTAATATTCTTTCCATTTATTGAACACATATTATATATCATGTGGAAGACTTTGAGCAACTTAAGCTTGGAGAGATTCAGTTTTCTCCTTTTAAAAATGGGGATAATTCTGTCATAAGATTGTTATAAAACTAAAGTTATATAAAGCTGGTAGCATGAATGAGGTAGAGTAAGTGTTCAATAAAGGATGACCTGGACTGAGGTGTAAATCATGCTGGGTAAAGTCTCATCACAATTTAATGATGTATAGCAATTTAATTTATGAATAATAATATATATATATGTAAATAAAAAATAAAATAATAAATGATAACCATTCTGGCTCTTTTAAATTCTTAGCCTACACCAGAGAATCAAGTCTCTCCTAATCTTTGGCATAGGCCATGTATCATTTTAATCTCTCAAATATTCATAACATCAAAACATCTTCACATGCTTTATTTCAGCTGATCTCGCTGGGCAACCATTTTTGGCACCATTCCCATTCACAGATGAAAGGAGGAGAGGTTTGTTGCTATTACAGATAGAATTATGCCTCTCCTCCCTCCTTCACATATTGAAGCCTCAGCCCCCAATGTGACCATATTTGGAGACAGAGCCTATAAGGTATGATAAGGTGATAAGGGTAAATGATGTCATAAATGTGGGACCTGATCTGTTAGAATTAGTGTCCTTGTGAGAGGATATACACTACACGAAGACAGAGTGAAAAGGCAGATGACTGCAGGCAGGAAGAGAGTTCCCACCAGGAGCTGGGTAGGCCGGAACTTGGATTTTAGACTTCCAGAATCACGAGACCTAAAATGTTGTTTAAGCCATTCAGTCTACACTATATACTATGGCAGCTAAGACTGGCTAATACGCTGGCCTTGAGACTGACAACCGAGAGCTCTCTGATCCCCCATTTCCCGCTTAACCATGTCAGCAACTTGCCCTCCACTGAACTGGGAGTTCATTCCGATTGTTTTCACCAACCTCTCATGTGAATAGTTTTATAATAAAAGTCTATGTGCATGTCCTTTCAGAAAACTATACTGTCTCAGTTGCAGATCTCGGGCTTCTCTACCCTCATCTCTGGCCACTGTCCTTGCTGACCACACTCAAGCCACGCTGGCCTCCTGGTTCCTTAAAGAAGTCAAGCATGTTCCCTTCTCAGGGTTGAAGTGTGTGCTGTTTCCTCTGAAGGATGCTCTTCCCTCCATTCATGCACTTCATCTGAGTTCTGCTGTCTCTGTCTCAGAGACATCACTCTATCTAAAGGCAGTCTCTATCCCACTTCAACGCCGTCCTCTATCCCAACACTATTTTTCTTCACAGCATTTCACAGAAGCAGATTATTTATTCAATTCCCTTCCTATAATCTGTCTTCTGCATTAAAATGTACACTTCTTTCACAAGGATTCTGTTCACTGTAGGATCCTTAGCATGTAGTTCTGAGCCAGGCACATGGTAGGTGACTCAGTACACTGGAAGAATTTGTTGAATGAATGAGTGAGGAGGCATTGTTGGGAGAGGCGATGCCTGAGCCTTCAGCTTCCCCTGCACATTCTTGTTGGGTAAGCCAAGAATGCAAGACCCTGACTGCTCATTACCTAGGGCATTTTTCAGAGTTATGATTATAACAAGCAGCCTTAAATGATGAAGTCACCCTTCCACTTGGGCAAAGAGCAGACTTGCTTCCAAACATACAAAATGATGAATTCTAAGCTGAGTGGTCTGTAACACAGCTCACTATCTGTACACTGTCCATCATGGGCCCTTTCTGCCACCTCTGTGGGGCTTGGTAAACATGGGGAAGCAGTGCAAGGTAAACAGGAAGCTCTGGTTACAACTTTTACCCAGAGTATAAAGTCCTTGTGTCTGACCCAGGAGGCTCATGTCTTCTGTCAGCATCTATGAAACAGCAACAGGCATGCTAGCTAGCTTGTTAAGTAGCATAATGTCAGGCTTTACACAGTACTGAACGGGCATTCAGTTTAGTAACTTTAAATATTACAATTATCAGGGTTTTTTCCTTCTTTTGTAATAGTTTCCTTGATACACTTTCTCCCAGGTTTAATAACCCAGTTAAAATATAGGAATAGTGTGATTGTTAATTTTGTATATTTCCAAATTGTGCCTCAGAGAAATTTAATGGATTCACTATTCTCCCTGGCTTTGAAGAAATAAGAGAAAGGGACTGACAGCTTTGCCAAAATCAATTATTTATCATTAGAAAAAAATGTTTAATTGGTGTATAATGACTATGTTAGTTGTTTTAATTTGCATTTCCTTAATGACTAGAAAAGGCTGCATTTTCCCACGTGGTTTTTATTATTTATATATTCTTGCATAGAAACTTTCCATCCACTTTATGAAGGAATTTGGGTACTACTTTATTAAAATTTATCAATTTTAGTGTATTTGGAGAGAATAACTTCATCAGTCTGTTGTCATATAATTTTCCTGTTACTCCTCTCTTTGCATTTACTGTATTACATTATGTTAAATAATGTATTTCCTTTTTAAAAAGTTTATTTATTGGGGCCAGTAGGTGACATGGCAGTTAAGGCATTGGATTTGCACGTGGCTGACCACTGTTCAGGTCCTGGACCTGGCGACTTGAAAATCACACTGAGCTTGTGTGCATGTGTGTCCAAAATCCCAGGAGGAGAATGGAGAAGAAGGGATTGCAGCATGGCCATCCCCCAGGGGGAGCGGTGATTTCTCACTTTCTCTCTCACTGCCTCTCTGTTTCTTTGGCAAGAGCAAGTGCCCTATGACAAAAACCTAAATGTATGTATGTATGTATGTGTGTATATATGTGTGTGTGTGTGTACACATATGTATGTATGTGCATACATAGAGAGAGATACATTCTTTGATATTGATATTCTTGCTCTTGTGTGTTCTTCCAGATGATTTAAAATATTATTTTTCAGATCCTTTTTCTATTATTCATCAGATCTCAGATCAAGTATTATTTCCTTTGAGAAGCTCGTCCTGATGCCCTTATTTGCCCTAGCCCCAGCCTCACCTGGTACCCCTGCCTGGTTGACCCTGAACCCGGCGCCTTACAGGAAGCTGTTTCTACCTTTCCACTAGATGGCAGCCTCACTGGGGATGTGGCTGGACCTCTGGGCTCAGTAAACCTGCATGAGTAAATGAATGAATGAGTGAGTGAGTGAATGAGGGAAGGCATGAAGAGAACCAAGAACCAGCTCAGTGAAGATAAAAAATACTGGAGGGTGTCGATGTATAACAGGGAAGGCATATGGTAATACGTGAGAAGCCAAGTGGGAGTACAGAAACAGCCAAAGAGAAGGGAAGAAATACCCAAAGAGTTTTAGGTTTTTGCAAATGTGCAGTCAGGGAAGACTTTAGGGCAAGATAGTGAATTCCTGGGTTGCAACTTTCACATTGCCTCCTCAGAATGGTCCAGTAATTGATTCTCAAACATCGACATA